AAAATAAAATAAATCTTTAAAAAAAAAAAGAGTTCTAAAATAAGAAATACTGGAAAAGAAAAGATACTCAGAAACCTATTATCAACCCAGAGCTAGAAAGAATGTGAAAATCATAGGAATTAAAAAGAAAATAATGAATAATTCATCATAAATACAGCAAATATGTCCCCCAGAATTCAGGCATTTGTTCCCTAAAGTCTCATGTTAATAAGGTAGAAACCTGATCTAATTCATGAATATAGTCGTAAAAACTTACAAACAAAATATTAGCAAGTATATTGATTAAAAAAGAATGAACAGGGCTCATTTGGACTCTTTGGGAAGTGACTGGAATGCAGACCCACTCCACCATTGCCAGCTTCCTCCAGATCTCAGTCTGTGTAGTTGCCTGATCCTGAAATGTGACCTCTAAACAGCTGCAATAAACCTTTTCCTTCCCAAGGAATTTCATTAAAGTAACAAAAGCTGACTAATGCAAGATTCTACTTTGTGTTTATTAGAATGTCTACTGTGAAAATCCTAATAAAACACTAATTGTCAAGGATGTGGACCACTGGGAAAAAATGCATTATATATTGCTTTTGATATGAAAATTGGTACAATAAATTTGGAAAGCTGGAATTTTCTACAGAAGTGTGTATAGGCCACGGCCTTACAAAGTCATATATACCACCTAGCAGTACATGTGCATATGCACTAATTGCACAAAATACAGAGTAGCAATGTAAATAATAAAGAGAAAATAGTGATCTACTTTTAATAGAATGAATAAATTCATTATTTTATTTACAAGCAATAGAAGGAACCATGAATAGATACTGTAGGCCCAGAAGAACATCATAAATTTAATATTAGGGGCCAAGTAATAAAGGATCATACAGTAGGATTCCATTCCTATTATGATCAGATCCAAAAAAACCTATTCAATTGTGTTTAGGCATGAATATTTAGATAGTTAAACTGCAAATAAAAGGGATTTGATTTCTAGGAAAAGCTGCCTTGGACAGAGGGCAAGAGAAGATCTATAGAAGATCTATAGAAGACAATAAGGCATTTCATGATGAGGCATCAGTATTTTCCTTGTAATAAGCAATCATCTTTTTTTTTTTTTTAAGATTTACTTATTTATCTTAAAGGGAGAGAGATTGAGAGAAAGAGAGAAACATTCTATTGGAGAAGTACCCTGTTGGTGCACTACGCAAATGGCTGCAACAGATAGGTCTGGACCTGGCCGATGCCAAGAGCCAGGAACTCTATACTTATTTTCCATGTAGGTGGCAGAGATCCAAGTTCTTGGGTCACCTGTAGCCTTCCAAGGCACATTGGCTGGGAATTAGATTAGAAGAGGAACAGTCGGACCCGGCGCGATGGTGCAAGTGGTTAAGGTCCTCACCTTGCACACCCCAGGATCCCATATGGGTGCCAGTTCTAATTCCAGCAGCCCTGCTTCCCATCCAGCTCCCTGCCTGTGGCCCGGGAAAGCAGTCAAGGACGGCCCAAAGCTTTGGGACCCTGCACCCACGTGGGAGACCCAGAAGAGGCTCCTGGCTTCAGATTGGCATAGCATTGGCTGTTGTGCTCACTTGAGGAGTGAATCATCGGACGGAAGATCTTCCTCTTTGTCTCTCCTCTCTGTATATCTGCCTTTCCAATAAAAATAAAATAAATCTTTAAAAAAAAAAAAGAAGAAGAGGAACAGTCAGGACTTCAAAGGGGGCTCTTTTTTGGAATGACATTGGCTGAATATGCTGCACAATAAGGCTGGCTCCACATCGTAACATTTTTTTAAATGAAATTTTTCCTGTATGTGTGTTGTCTTTACCAAAACAAAGAGTTAAGAAATTTGATTTGGGAATCACCTTTGTGGAAAGTGGATAAAAACTACAATGATAGTATTCTCTACTGGCACCAATTCCTGTCTAGGCTGCTACTTCCAATCCAACTCCCTGTAAAGGCCTAAGCAAAGCATTGGAAGATGACCCAAGACTTAGGGGTCCCTGATATTCATGTGGGAGATTTGGAAGAAGCTCTTGGCTTTTGGCTTTGGCTCAGCCCAGCTCCCACAGTTGTAGTCATTTGAAGAGTAAACCAGCAGATGAAGGTCTCCATCTTTTCCTCTCTCTTTAAACACACATACACACACACACACACACACACACACACACACACACACACCAGGAAATTTGATTTGGTAAACAAAGAGAAACAAGAAAACAAGGAAAGGCATTATTCCTGAAGCGGTTTAAGTCTCAGGTTCCAGAATAGAAGCAGTAGGATGAATGCAAAAGGGCAGAAAGCATAGACCATGGGGAATGCGCCAAGAAACAAACTGCTCCCTTTGCAACTTTACAAATGCCAATCCAAAGGGATGACGGCCACCAGGGATTGGTACTGCTCTCTGGTACCAACATATCTGCTTTATTGTTCTAGAACTCTTTTGTCAGTTGCAGGGAGGAAGATCTCCCGCATTAACTTCCTTTTCATAAAAACTGCCTGTTTCCCTGGTTTGCAAGAGGGCTACCTCTATTTCACACCTGTCACACTGAATGGGAAAGAAGTGTGTGAGTCATCAACCCACTGCCTCCCAGGGTGCAGACTAACAGGAAGCTGGATTGGAAGTGGAGTCTGGCCTTGAATTCAGCCAGTGTTATGGGACATGAACGTCCCAACCAGTATCTTAACCACAATGCCCAACACCTATCACTGAAGGGGCTAATTCTAATAATTCTAATAATCCTTGGTATAGCTGTTCAAGGTATGACTGGCAATAAATTCTACATTTATCGTCAATCTAAAGATTAAAAAAAATCTATTCTTGGGAATCTGTTCTTTTACTACTTGAAACTGATAAGTGCAGGAACAGGAACTATACATTTTACCGATGGGGTTAGAGAAAGAGTTTGCAAATGGATCATGCCTGAATGATCTGTAGTTGAAATGCCCAGAAAGATCAGTAGTTGAAATGCCCAGCTCTTCCTTAAGAGTTAGAAATCACGCTGGGAAGTGGGGCAGGACAAGCTGTTGGGAGACAGTATGGCCAGTGGCTGAAAGCACCTGCAGTGTCCACTGGTCCTTCTCTGCAACAAAACTCAGAGCCTGCCTTGAGTACATGTGTGGGGGAAGGGAAGGGGAAAAGAGAAGCAGTTGTGAAGAGTGAAGAAGGATCCATTTTGAACCATTTTCTCACCCTGCTCTCAGAACATCTCAACTGAAGATAAACCCATTTTTAGGATAAAGAGCTATTTGGGCAGTTTTAGATAAAATGGGGATAATGAAGGTAAATAAAGTTTTCTTTAGTTGAGAACATGTGCAAATACGCATCTCCCCTTTATTTTGCTAGAATGACCTCAATATAATTACTTATTTTTCACATCAAGCTTATTTAAAACCTGTATGTGGAATGCAGACCATAATGGAAGCACTGAATGTAAATGAGAGCTTTGCCTGACAAATAGCATCCGAAAAGGTAGCTATATCTGTGATCAGTATGAACTGGACCACTGAGGGTGGTGGTGTCCTGGCTTGGCCACTGCACCATAAAAATGCATCTGAGAGATGACACATTCTGGGCTTGCACTTTGACTTTTTTGGGGGAAAAAATGATTATCATCTGCTCCCTGAATTAAACGTGTTTTGTTTTGACCAGCTGAAACTTTAGCACTGCCTGGATACAGCCAATGGTCGGTGTCCCAGTGGGGAAAGGTACATGGAGATGGGATTGGGGCGTGCCATCCCATCAGCAGGCAGTGTTTATCTTTTCCTGGGCAGAGGTTGACACAGATGAAGAAAAATTGGCTAAGTGGATGCAGGGGACAGAGGTTACTTAATTTGGTCAAAGAACATAGTGTATAAACCATTTGGAAATGCACAACAGTGCATGGGGTACACAGACAGGTGTGGGAAGCCCAGAACTTCCCAGGAGGGCTGCTGTGTCTCCCAGGCTAAGCATGATGTCATTACTTTCTGACAGTCCACGTCTTAGGGAAAGTCGCTTCCGGGTTGCAATTTTGAGTGCTGTGGGGAGCCCCCACTTCCTGATGTGTAAAATGAGGCAAATTACTAATTTAGGGGGCTGTGGTGAAGGTGGAATGGGAAAAGGCAGAGTAGGGACTCAGTGAATTAAAGCTGTTTTCATTAAAACAAAATAAGCTTTGCAGTTCCAGACAGCTAGAGGTTTCCGCATGCCTTACTGCCAATTCTCAAAATCTCAGGAGTTTTCTCTGATCCTGCTTCCTGCTCTCATCCCCCCCGCCCCACCCCCGTTCCCAGGTCGGCGCCCCAATCCTCGGCCGCACAGTGGTGAAAGAGGCACTTGGAGCAGGACCAGGGCCAACCTGGCCCCCAAGGACCCCTGGCCTCCTGGCCCGGTAGGGCCTGTCATGGCGGCCCAGCGACGAGCTTAGGTGATCTCAGAGCTGAAAGAATGGAAGAAAGAGTCTGAGAGTCAGCGCTGCCGGGACCCCTGCCACGGCAGATCCCGGCGGGAGCACCGGCTCGGCTCCGAGCCTGCCTCCAGCGGCGCTGGGCCCGCCCTGACCCGAGTTCAGCCCTGCGCTCGGGCGCCCACCTGGAGAGGCGACGGTGCCGGCCGGGGGAGCAGGCGGCCCGCAGCTGAGGTGCCGGGGCGGGCGCCCGGGGAGCGAGGCCGGCGTCCCCGGAGCGCGCTGTGGGGGCCCGCCCGCCGCTCGCGCGCCCTGCCCGCCCCCCGCGCGCCTCGCCCGCTCGCCCGCGCCCCCACCCACCGGCCGCTCCTCCCCTCTCCCCTCCCTCCGCTCCTCCGCCCCCTCCCCTCCCCCGCCGCCTCACAGACTGCTCGGCCGCGCTGCTGAGGCGCCGTGGCGGGAGCGCGAGCGGCCAGGCCACCGCACCTGCAGGGCGCCCGTGCAGCCGAGCCGCTCCACACACACACGCCCCTGCACCCCACCAGCTTCCCGCCGCCTGAGAAGCTGCTCCTCACACGCCGGGCCTCCCATGACGCCCGAGCCCCGCGGCCGGCCACGATGACCACTTCCCTGCAAGATGGGCTGAGCGCCGCCGACAGGGCGGCTGCCCGCGACTCGCCGCTGGCCGCCCAGGTGGACGGCGCTGCCCAGGGGAGGGGCGACGCCCACGACCCCGCGCCGGCGTCCAGGCTGCCCCCTGCGGACGCGACCCGCGGCTGGGCGGCCGACAGGTAGGCAGGCAGCCCTGGGCGGGCGCGGGGGAGTGTCCTGGCGTGGCGGCCCGCGAGGGGATGTGGAGGCGGTCCTAGGGGGTGAGCCATGTGCCCGGAGCTGGGCCAAGTTTGAAAAAGTCTCGGAAGACAATTCCCGCGGAGCTGGCTCCCGCCGGATCAACAGGACATTGTGCTCTCACCGCGCCTTATAAATAGCATCACCGTTTCGTTGCGAGTTGGCGGTCTCCCTTGCCTTTGCTTAACGGTGTGACCTGGAGGGAGTTGTGCAGTGCCAGGAGCGGGCGGGCGGGGAATGAGGCCCATATTCCGGGTCAGTCACCCTCTGTCCCTTCTTCATGCCCCCTGTGCATTTTAAAGAAATCCCCTTTATTTAAAAGAAAGAAAGAAAAAAAGAAGCAGTGGCATATGTGAGTTTACAATAGAGTCTTATAATGACCCCAGAGAAGCAAAGCATGGATTCACATTTAAGCAGTCTTGCAGTTAAGCAGAAAAGAATGGAGGTTTTAAAAGGTTTCCCCATCCTCATGTCATTTAGCACTAAGTGGCTTCGGAGTTGAGCATACTTCAGGCAAGAAAATCGACTCCAATAATAGCGAAATCCAGAGTCTTTGTATTCATGCATTTTCTTCCTCCTCACCCCAGATTTTTGAAGTGCTCCAACTTCAGTGAAGTCACAGTGACTCTAGTGGACTGGAGTACATTCGTAGCAGCAAGTTCTATTAACTCACCTCCTCAGAAGCCCTGCCTTGCCGTTGAGTATCTCTAGTCACTTCAAAAATCAACAGACTGTGTGTGGGCTACATTGTGAATGGAATTTCAAGTGAGATGAACTACAGCTAACATTAATAGATCATCACTTCCAGAAGTCATTAGTAAAACATGACAGCGATGAACTCCCTCAGTGTAATGTAGGGACTTGGTTGATTTAACGGGTGCACAGCAAGGTTGACCTCATCAGGAGGATTTTTGCATTAGGAATTCCCCAGTCCATATTTCTTCCTCAGAAAAACTAACGAAAGTGCTGAAAATGGAGATTCCTTGTTTGGTGACTTTTCCAAAGGCCCCCCCACCCCATTTCCCTAAATGAGACAGAGTTCTAGATGAGTTTTATTCGCATCAATTAACATACTTTATTTTTATCCTCAGAAAGTACAGCAGGAAACTCTTCTGTATGCTTTATATGCAATATTTGAAATGTCCCAGGGTGCTCTGTGTCAGCCTTAATGTACTTTTAAATCCTGATAGCGTTTATCTTTTACATTCTGTTTATGTAAATTATATGCTCTGTTCTCTTGGTGTAGGAGAAAAAAGAAAGATCTTGATGCTCTGGAAATGCCATCCATTCCCAACCCTTTTCCTGAGCTGTGCTGTTCTCCGTTTACATCTGTGTTGTCAGCAGGCCTCTTTCCCAAAGCAAATTCAAGGAAAAAACAGGTATGCATTTCTGCATCTTTAAGTCAAAATACTTTAGGTGTGGTAAACCGTATGATCTGCAAAGATTTTCCCGTCAGTTACAACATTAACAAAGGATTTTCATGGCCTAAGTTAAATTATTCCTGACTGACAGTCCTTCAGTTTGCTTTTTCCTTTTTGGGCCTCAGTTTTCTCTGTTGTATAATGGAATTGCTAAAAGTTAACCTCTTGAGGTCTTGGGGTTGACTAAAAGAGAGAATGTGAGTGTAGAGCAGGTATGGTGGCTAGGAGATATTGTCATTTGCTGAATAAGTGGGAGAGTTCCAAGTGAGAATAGATTGCCAGTTTAAAGTCTAGGCTTGGGAGGCAGTGAGGCAGTGGAAGTGGGGACAACAGGGGACTGATTCGTTCCTCTGCCTTCCTCTTTAATTGTCTGTATTTTCAACCAGAATCAATCTCACTGCTAAAGCAGAGTGATACTATGAATAATGACACAAGGTCGATGGAGTTTAGGATTGCACCTGTTTTCTTCATTTCATTGAATTCCTCAGTTTGGAATCCCTGGGTGGAGAGGACAGGTGATGTGTAAGTGATGGTTACAAGGTGGACTTCGGTAAATCTGCCAAGAGCAGAGACATTTTCTGAATTAGGATGTTCAAAAGGAGGAGGCAAACCCTTAGCTGTTGGGACTGTGACTTTGGGAAGGTTGACAAAGAGATTCTTTTGCTATTGTGAGGAAGTTTAAATCAGATAGTATAGGCAGAGCATGACTTGGGGTACAGTCCTACTGTCTTAAACTGTGTGAGATTTTCCTTTTGGGTTAGGATGTAAGTTGTAATGTGAGATGATAGACCTGATTGTAGATTGTAGTGAGAAAAGGAAATATCTAATAATGACTTAATAGTCACTTGGGGGGATTCAGTAGATAATTTTTTGCCAAATATAGAGTGCCTGCTATGGTATTTGCAACATTTTAGGCGCATGGCACCTTGGTAAGTGAAAATACCCAATTCAAGGAATATTTGCTGAAGTGGCATTTTATCAGATTGAAGTAGGGAAAGGGAAATGGCTGGTAAGAGATGTAGAGGGAGAGATGTAGGATGACCCTCACCTTACTTTTCCTTGGGCATGTTAACAGAATGCCTGTGGGTACACTTAATAGGACAGGGTTTGTTTTGAATAGACGGTGAGAACATGTGCTGTGTTGATTGAACTATGTCAATACAGGAAAAAAGAGAGTGGGTGAGAAGTTGGGGTCACATCAGAGTATGCCCGAAAGAGGACACTCATTAGCCTAGAGGAAACATCATAGGGAAAGAGAACATTTCCTCAGATCATATTTAGCAAAGAGGAACAGGGGAAAATGGTAAGATGTTGCTATGGACTTCAGTACTTTTCTGCTCTGGCTTCATATCCTGTGCGTTTCTCAGGCAGTGAGATATACCTACAGAGATGGTTGTGCTGCTTCATGAGTAGAGGGTCTCAGCCTTGCTTCTAAGGGCCATTCCCTGGGGGTTGTGTCCACTTTACAAGGCCATTCTTCAGGAACTCTTCCTTGGCCCAAGGGTTGGAGTCTGTGAAGAGAAGTCCCAAGGCTGGGGAAGAGGAAGGTTTCTGTTCACTTTCTTTCCCTTTTTTCCTCCACCTTGATTTTGCATCTAGAGCAGATTCCTCAGGGAGAAAGTGAAAATTTATGTTTTTTATTTACAAGTAAATGACCAGAAATTTCATATGTTATATCTCATCTGGCATTCAAAATCATGATCCAAAGTTATTTTAAAGTATAGTGCATGAGTGATAAAGCATATTGAAGCAAAATGTAGGATATGGTTTTTCTGTTTTCACAAGTAGAGTGTCCCAAAGTAGGTAGCATTGTTGGATCTTAGTTATTATTTCAGTTGAGAGTTTAAATGAGAGAGAAGACATACTCCTTAGTTCTCCTGTTACTGTTTTGTTGGCCGGAAATGTTCTCTAGCCCCATTTTCTTAAATTTACCAGTAAAGCAGATTTAAAGTGTTACCTTCCTTTATTTGTATATGGCTTATAAGAATAGCCAGTGATAAAGGTGGCAAGTTATGTACTTAATGTCTTTTTATATACTAGTTTAAGATAGAAATTTACTGGGAAATTTCCTTTAACGATAAGCCCCAAGCATCTAAAATTTGTTGAGAAGGAAAGAGTAATATATTTTTAATTCTTGCAGCTGAATCAGTTTTTGTCTCACCGTTGTCTACATAGAGGAAGTTTACATAGATGGACATAGTGTTAACTGCTTCCCGGGACTATGAAATATAACTAATCCAAAATAAACACTCTGAAGATCCTAAAGATTACAAGTAGTTGTGCAAAACTGTGTCATAGGATATTTGAGTTGGGAGCTATTTTTGAGATTATTCGGTGTAGTAGTCTTTTAAATAGATGTTTAAACTCAGTGCAAGCAAAACTTTTATGGCTGACAGGGGCACAGCTGGGACCCATGGCAAGTTTCTGAAAACTTTGCCAGTTGCTATTTAGGAAGCTCACAATATCAAGTAGTACCAGTGATAAATGTATCGGTGTCAGTAGGTAAAACTTGGCCCCGAATGGAAGAGTAGGGTTGTTGATGGCATTGTAAGGATGAATCTAAGGACTCAAGAGTCTCTCTTTTTCTGCTGTCCTGAAATGTAACTTTGTTGTTTATTTCTACTTTCTTTTCCATTTCCTCCCAACTTGGGATAAAAATGATGAAATCATTGGTTATGTCATCATATGCAATTTATTACTATCATTAGCAGCCAACTTTTCTATGTAGTTTATAATCCTTAGGGTGTTACTTCAGAAGTCCACCGGGAAGTGAGTGTGTCGACCACAATTTAAGATTTAGAAAAGATTAAGAGAAACCCTGTCCTTGTCCTGCTCATGCAATTACAGTTAAAGGAAGATCAAAAGGAAGATCGTGTCTCAGGGTGCTTTGCCCCTTACCATACTATATCTATTCCAATCTCCTTCTAGTCTTTCTATATCTTAGAAAAATAAAAATGTATCTTCCAAGTAATTAAGCAGTAATTTTTCTATTGTATCTGTGATCTCCACCCTGCCGCCACTATGTTAGGAACTTTCCAAGGGCAAGTAGAGCTCTGTCTCCCAAATTTAAGGGCCTCTCTTGTGTGATTCTTTTGTGGTAATTATGTCAGCTTGTATGTGCTGAACATGTATAGCAGTTGGGATCCTGTGGGAATCCTGTGTGGCTGCCACATTAATTGAACTCTCATATGCTCATTTCCCTAATGTACTCAGAGTGGAAATAAGAAAACTCTGCCCCCATATTTTCATCTTTACAGACTTAAAAGGTCAAGATTTCACTTCATTTACTTTATTTATTCCCTTTATAAAATGCTTTCTTTCTTTCCTGAAGCCACTTGAAATACATTTGGAAAGTCTGTCATCGAATCCCTACCTGGCTTTATTTGCATCTCTGAAAAATGTTGTTTTCTTAAACAACCTAAATATCATTATTCTCTAATGAAAATAACAATAATTCCTTGGTTTTGTCTAAAACCATCCATAATCAAATTTTCTCTGTTGGAATGGCACATAAAATACTCAAATTACATACTGGTTATGTTTCAAAAGATTGCAAATTAGCTTTTTGGAAGTTTGAATTCATTTTCAGATGGAAACAACATCACAAATTGTATTTTGGCCCTCCAAGCTATTTTACAAGACTCCATTTAATGTGAAATGAAACATGAATATATATGCAGAAAGAATAATAGAAAGGACCTTGTCCTACAGCCATTTGCTACTTTTTCATGCTGACACTTGATGAATATCATTTTTTGAGGGGGAGACTTTGAAGCATGCACATCGTCATAGCAGGGTTGGAGCAGGCAGGCTAAGCCATACTTCTGGAAATGTGGTCAGAAAACCAGGTCCAGAGAGGAGTTAGACCTCTTGCAGATTCCACCAAATAATAATCTGGGAAGGACACAATCATTCAACATTTTTTTCCCTTGAGATATATACAAACTCTGGGCTACTCTTGTGCTCACCACTTTCATACTTAAACTTTGTGATCTTTCAAAATTGTTAGCACCTTACTTAATTAAGAGGAGGGGGAGTGTCACAGGTAGACATTAGTTAGTATTGAGTGTTTGCAACAAAGAGCTTTCAATGAAAGCTGAAAGATGGTGTTTTAGAGCTTGTAGACCAGAAATTCGCTGCTCTCAAGGAGGATTGGAACTGGTTGGAACCAGAAAGTCCGCAAAAATCAAAGCAGCCACTTTCTCTATTCACTCTTATTATTATTATTATTATTATTATTATTATTATTATTATTATTGTTATTATATTTAGAAATCACAATTACAGAGAAAGGGAGAGGCAGAGATCTTCTATTCCCTGGTACTCCCCTGAAGTGGCTGCAAAAGGCTGCCAGTCCGAGTCAGAGTGAGCAGCTTCTTTTGGGTCTCACGTGTGGGTGCAGGGTCTCAAGGACTTGGGCCATTTTCTGCTTCTTTCCCAGGCCATTCATTAGCAGAGGTCTGGATTAGAAGTGGAGTGGCCAGGATTTGAACTGGCATCCATATGGGACTCCGGTGCCACAGGCTGAGGATTAGCTTGCTGCATCACCATGCCTACCCATATTCGCCCCTTTTGTTCTTTCTACTTGTATAGCTCAGAAGCACTGTTTCTTCTGGCTACTCAGCTTTGCTTTCTGATATTTCTCAGTAGTTCTGCTGGCCCTGCCTTCATGTCAGCCCCTGTGGCCCTGAATGGCCAAACTGAGTTTTCTTGTGAAGGTAACTGATTGGAGTCTCTTTCTGGAGGAGGTATTTAGTCTGGTGTTCCCAGCACTTGTTCAATCAGTTATGGTAAAGCGATGAGAGACCTGAATCCCCACTCATTAAGCAAGGCTGTGGAGATAGATTTTGTGAGAAAGGCATGTATGTGTCGTATGGAGGACAGGGAAGGAAATGGTGGACAGATCATGTCCCAGTGGGAAAAAAAAATCTCAGACGAAAAACTAAGTCTTAGCATGT